TTATGACTTGAACTTTGCACTTTTGCTTGCAGCTCTGGGGACACATCCTTAATTCCTGCCTTAAAAAACTTAGTTGTAGGGCTTTCTCTCTGCTCTCAGACAACTGTAAATGCAGACTGAGAAGCATCTGGAACAGCAGATGGATTTACAGAACGTTGGTGAGGTTGGTCGGAAAGGAGTGAGTTATCTCAGTTGACTGTTCACGGTCAGTTACAGATCGAACTACTTGTTCTTAAAAACAGAACAACAAAAAAATGTTGAACAAGGAGAGTGAACAGGAAGGAATAAATAAGAGAATAGAAAGAATAAAGGATAAGGGGCATTTTCTTCCATCAAAGCCCCTGAATAGGTCTCATAGTCTAGACCAATTGCTGTCTAGTAGAAATATATTGGGAGTCACATTGTGCAACTTAAAATTTCTAGTAGACACATTTTTTTAAAATAAGATATATGAAATTAATTTTAGTTATATAACCCAGCATATTGAAAATATTTCAACATGGAGTCAATATTTTAAATTATTTTTTAAAAATGTTTAAATTATTGAGATATTTTACTTTTTTCATATTAAGTCTTCAGAATTTAGTGTTTGTATTTACAGAGCATCTCAGTTTGAACTAGGCACATTTCAAGAGCTCAGTAACTACATATGACTATTGACTAGTACTGGAAAGGAAAGCTCTAGACTGTGGACTAGGGAATACCATATCTGGGTAACTTTAGGGGGATGGTATTATGGTCACTGTGTTTTATGTAGAAGAAATTCTTGAAGTGGCTGACTCAAATGACTGTGGAAGTTAGACAATTAACAATAAAAGATGAATTAATGTAAAACAGTAGGTAGTAGTGGGAACTAGGACTCATTGGAGAGTACAAACACCTATCTAAAGGGTAGGTCCCCAGAGCTCCTGAGTTTTAAAACACAGCGATGGCAAACAGAAAATGTCTATGAGCAATATGAACAGCTAGCTCTATTGCCAATATGTGGCCTCTGTGAACTGTGGTATTCAAATGTATGAAACATTTTTGAAGAAAAGATTTTAACAGAATAGTGTCCAGGCAAAGACATAGCAAACCTTGAGGATTCCATTTACTGGATCCTGTGCAAGTGTGCACTTTAATACATTAAACCACCATTTCAACCTCTGATAATAATTTGACTTAATAAGCAGACTTCTCTCCTGAGAAGATAATTTCACAACCAACCTGAGCTCCCCATAAATTAATAAGCTTGCATCATGATTTTTGTTATATTTAAGAGTTCAGACATTCTGGGGCGCCTGGGTGGCTTAGTCGGTTAAGCGTCCGACTTTCGCTCAGGTCATGATCTCGCGGTTCGTGGGTTCGAGCCCCGCGTCGGGCTCTGTGCTGACTGCCAGCTCGGAGCCTGGAACCTGTTTCAGTCTGTGACTCCCTCTCTCTCTGACCCTCCCCTGCTCATGCTGTCTCTCTCTCTCTCCTAGAAATAAATAAAAATATTAAAAAAAAACAAAAAGAGTTCAGACATTCTGAGCTTAGAAAAAATGGTTTTAGTTATTTATTTATTTGAGAGTGAACACAAGCAAAGGTGGGGCAGAGAGAGAGGTAGCATCAGTTTGCAGCCTGATGCAAGGCTCAATCTCACAAACCGTGAGATAATAACCTGATCCAAAATCAAGAGTTGGATGCTTAACCAACCACCCAGATGCCCCTGAGCTTGGAAAAATTAAGTTTCTAGGCTTCCAGAGCTATTATCTAGCAGATCTTGGACTTTTTTTTTTTTACCTGAACTTTAAGGATAGGCACTTAATAATTATTTTATGGTTGAATGAAATCCTTGTGTCACATGAAAGTTATGAGGCTGATGCCTCACATAATACCTGGTATACAGTAGGCACTCAGTAAACATTTGTTAAAGGAATATAGTCCTTAACTTTGGGGTAGGGCTCACAGATTTTTAAACATGAAAATCTGATGAAAACTGTGAACCCATATTCAGATCCTGTCTATGCCCTACCCGTATTCCCTCAGCCCACCCCAGAGCTTACTACAGCTTTGATAGATAGTGCAGGTCCATACTCTCCTACCGCAAACACCTGTGTATTTCTTTGCCTATAAGTGCCAACAGAGTTATAATTCCCAGAAGCAATCTGTAACCAAAGAAAGATGGGATTTGGTGGCTAAATATTACAGTTCCTCAATCTGCTCAGTGGGGCAATTCTGAATCCACTATAGTGTTTCCCAAAACTTACTAGCATATGAATCACCCAAAGAGATGAGTAAGACACAGATTCTTGAGTTTACATTTTTAACCAGTCTCCCACCAAATAATGATGCTGCCGTCCATGGACCACACTTTGAATAGCATTTTTCTCAGAGAGTAACAAATGGGATTTAACTCCAATTCCCCAAAGCACTTTTATTGGCTTTCTTCTCACTCCCTTCCCTGGTTGGATTTCTGGAATCACTTTCCAACCTCTGGGATTACTTGCATCCAAATCTTTGTCTCAGGATTTATTTCGGGGGAAATCCAACTTATGGCAACACTGTCCTTTGAAATATACACACAAGGGATGCCTGAGTGGCTCAGTTGGTTAAGCATCTGAATCTTGATTTTGGCTCAGGTCATGGTCTCACAATTTGTGAAATTAAGACCCGTATCAGGCTGTACACTGACAGCACAGAGCCTGCTTGAGATTCTCTCCCTCTCCTTCTCTTCCCCTCCCCTGCTTGCTCGCTCTCTCAAAAATAAATAAAAACAGGGGCGCCTGGGTGGCTTAGTCGGTTAAGCGTCCGACTTTCGCTTAGGTCATGATCTCGCACTTCGTGGGTTTGAGCCCCGCGTCGGGCTCTGTGCTGACTGCCAGCTCAGAGCCTGGAGCCTGTTTCAGTCTGTGACTCCCTCTCTCTCTGACCCTCCCCTGCTCACGCTGTCTCTCTCTCTCTCTCTCTCTCTCTCTTTCCTAGAAATAAATAAAAATATATATAAAAATAAATAAATAAATAAATAAAAACAATAATAATAATAACTCTCTCAAAAATAAATAAAAACAGGGGCGCCTGGGTGGCTTAGTCGGTTAAGCGTCCGACTTTCGCTTGGGTCATGATCTCGCGGTTTGTGGGTTCAAGCCCCGCGTCGGGCTCTGTGCTGACTGCCAGCTCAGAGCCTGGAGCCTGTTTCAGTCTGTGACTCCCTCTCTCTCTGACCCTCCCCTGTTCATGCTGTCTCTCTCTCTCTCCTAGAAATAAATAAAAAACATTAAAAAAAAAAAAAAAAAGATACACACAGAAAAATCTTTGGGGAAAAAAAGGGGATACCTGCCTGGCTTAGTTGGTGGTGCATACAACTCTTGATCTCAGGGTTGCAAGTTCGAGCCCCATGTTGGGTGTAGAGATGACTTAAAAATAAAATCTTTTAAAAAAATATAAAAATACACACAGAAATAGAGTTTCATGTACAAGTTTAGAGGAAGTATGAGTCCTCTGAAATTTGTTTAGGTTGTAAAGGAAAATGATCAAGGTAAATGTTATGTGACCCTGGATCCATGAAAAATAGATCAGTATATGCAAAGTTTAGCAATTTAATAAAATCATTAATGGCTCATGGAGTTGGGTGAATTCAGCCAGCTCTCCTCAGAAGTTATTTTCCCAGATCCTATTAAGCCATCTCCTTATTCTTCCTGATCCTTATTTCTTATTTTGTGGAACACAGAGGTTAGTCTGGGACTCTAAAGAAACCACATGCTTGAAATAAAATTTAAAAATTTTTAGAAATAAGGGCACCTGGGTGGCTCAGTTAAGCATCCGACTTCAGCTCAGGTCATGATCTCATGGCTCATGAGTTCAAGCTCCACATCAGGCTCTGTGCTGACAGCTCAGAGCCCCGGAGCCTGTTTTGGATTCTGTGTCTCCCTCTCTGCCCACTCACACTCTCTCTCTGTCTCTCAAAAATAAACATTTAGGGACGTCTGGGTGGCTCAGTGGGTTATGTGTCCAGCTTCAGTTCAGGTAATGATCTCATGGTTCTTGGGTTCGAGCCCCACGTCAGGCTCTGTGCTGAATGCTTCCTCAGAGCCTGGATCCTGCTTCAGATTCTGTGTCTCCTTCTCTCTCTGTCCCTCCCCACTCATGCTCTGTCTCACTCTGTCTCTCAAAAATAAATAAATGTAAAAAAATTCTTTTAATAAAATTTAATATAAAAAAACATTTGAAAAATTTAGGGAGGTGGGGGAGAGGGAAAATGGGTGATGGGCATTGAGGAGAACACTTGTTAGGATGAGCACTGGGTGTTGTATGTAAGCCAATTTGACAATAAATTATATTCCTAAAAAATTAAAATTAAAGAATTTAAGAAAATACTGTTGCTCATTCCTATTGAGCTTTCATGTGTGTTTTTTTCCCCCTCAATTACAGTACTTTCTGAATACCACTCAAGTGCCTACATGACCCTTAGATCTTTTCTGACTGTGCTCACACAGAACCAGGCATACATAACTGCACCTGGTTTCTCCCACTTTCTTCTGGATTCTAACTTGGCTCTCTATTGTATGCTGTCCTTTCAGGAATCTGTAACCTTTGATCCATATACTCCTCAGCCCATTCTGGTCATCTGGAAACTTTATGGCATGTTTTACTTCTGTGATAATTGGGTAATCCTGATCATCCCAATCTCTAATCCGCTACACAAAGAGAGCTAACACTAAGGTTGCCAATACCTGCTTCCTAACCACCACACAGTAGTTTCTTAGTTTTGCCCACAAATGGGCCAGCACATGTGTTTGTGCATGACTGTCTTATGTACTATTGAATAAGTATGTCTTTGTACACACCTATGAATATGGTCTTGTGGGTGTGGACATGGGTGTGGTGTATAAGCAACCTTAGCTCAGGTCTGGTCTTGAAGTCTGAATAATGAATGTTTAGTACTTGACTTTAGTCTCTGTGCATTGTTAGCCTTAGTTTTCATCTGCCCTCAAATATCAGAGGAAGAATGAGTTCATTTCTCTGAAGTTTATTGACTGTTACTAGTGGCAGAGTGAATTTCATAAAAGAGCAGGTTCCATACAGAGCAAGTTGGTGAGGAAGGATGCTTGGAGTGGGGACTTGGGGTGAAGACTGGAAAGACAGATCTCTCCCTCTTTTTCCCCCTCCATTCCCACAAGGATACTGGATTTACAGTGGGGCATCCTGCTTAGCATTCCCTCTTCAAAATGGAACCTGAGAAGAGAAATTTAATGCAAAGTAGAGGAGGAAACACCTCACAGCTCCTCTGTTTCTCCATCCAAGGGGATGCTGATATCCACATTGTAGTCTACTGGCTCCCCAGAGCTCAGCCAGGGGATAGGGGTTCGATTGAAAGAAGGTCTGTTGGACAGATTCTGGTTGTAGAGGACCAGGGGTTCACTCAGTAGGGGCCCCAGGTCAAACTTGGGCATCTGGAAGGTCATGCGTTTGGAGGCCTTCTCATATCCACCATAAGGCATTGCCGTCCTGAAAAGAGGACATATTATTTAATTAAAAACAAAAGAGGACAAAAGGAACAGCTTTATCAGTGAGATGTTACCCTGTTTTGAAGATGGGGAAGTCTGTGAATTTTAGTTTAGATTGCTTCTGCATTCCTTCTTCTCCCTTAGTGCTTCATTCCCTATTCCTGGTTTGCTTTTTTCCCAGAACTAATGATGAGAAAAGGAACGTAGTGGGGCATTAAATAAAGAGTTTCATGGATAGCTGTGACTCAGACACTATAGTCTGAGACTACCTTAAAATACAAGGTAGACAACCCCTCCCCCTCAACTACACACACACAACTCCTACCCCATCTCCAGTAGATAGCACAAGGCTTGGTAAGAGGAATTAACATTGCCTGGAAAATTCAAGCTTCTTAGGACCAAATGCAAAAGCACTTTTTCTGGTGCTTCCCCATTCTGCTTTCATACAGATCTCCTGCTCACAGTCTAGAGAAGCCCAATTCCAAAAGAATAGACACTTAAGGGGACGCCTGGGTGGCTTAGTCGGTTAAGCGTCCGACTTTCGCTTAGGTCATGATCTCACAGTTCGTGGGTTCGAGCCCCGCATTGGGCTCTGTGCTGACTGCCAGCTCAGAGCCTGGAGCCTATTTCAGAGTCTGTATCTCTCTCTCTCTCTCTGACCCTCCCCTGCTCATGCTGTCTCTCTCTCTCTCTCTCTCTCTCCTAGAAATAAATAAAAAAAAAAAAAAAAAAAAAAAAAGAATAGATACTTAAGCCTTACTGGAGAATAAGGAAATAGAATCCTACTACGGGGACAGTAATGAAATCCTAACCTTGAATGAAGGAAATTTCAAGAGTCCTTTAAACATGTAAGATATTATTCCCATTTTACAGCAAGGCAACCAAGGCTCAGAAGTAAGGTGACTGTCCCATGCCCACACTGCTAATAAGTGGTGAACTGGACTTCAAATCTTGCCTCTCAGCAAACATTTCCTTCATCATACTGCACTATTTCTCTGAGTTAGAGCGAAAAAAGCAAAGGCTTTCAATTAGGACCCCCATATTCCTTTCCTCCCTCTTCAGCCTCCTTCTGAAACATTTGAACCAAAGTCTCTATCCCAATTAAGCACACTATGCCACACACTGGGATGCATCTGGTTCCTTCCTCACACCTCCTCCTACCTGTTGAAGGACTTATATTTGGGAAGCTCAGCTTTGGCCCCATAGGCCAGCAGGTCGATGCCAAGTTCCACTTTTTGCTGAGGGTCAACCCCCATGGCTCGCTCCCATGGGGAAATATAGGTCTTGAACACAGTGATATGTTTTCCTTCTCCACCTGTCTGGTCTCCTGGCAGCCATGGGAGAGAAAATTAAGTCAATAATAGCAGCTGGTAGCCAGTGGAAGTTAGTCTTACACCCCTGTACTAGGGAAGCTGCTGGGGGCCAATCCTGGTAATTGTGCTAGTTTTGTGGAATCCTGACAACCCAGGGTCAGATCTGTGACTAAAACTGAAAAGCCAGAAAGGTAACTGAAAGATCAAGCTCCTGAGTGAAACAGACACATTTTGGCATTCTCCTAAGGCAAGAGAGTCCATCTAGGTACCTCAGCAGCCTTCCCTTGCTCCCTAAACCCAGTCTAGGCCTCATTCCTGGGGATATCTCTGCTCTAGGGACCAGACACATCACTCTTGGATAAGGATACTTGCCTGTTCCTGTCTCACCAACCCCTGCTGTTCCAGAAGTTCCTCCTTTGCCACTGTGGCCCCCAGGACCACTAGCACCCCCAGATCCAGACCCAGAGCCCTGATGGTGGTGCTGGTCAGAGCCATAATGTCCGGCAGAGCCACTTCCCCCTGCCTGGCCTCCACTGCTGCCTTTGCTGTAGGAGAATCCCTGACCAGCTGTGCCCAGCTGTCCCCCAACTGTGGGAAGGAACTTCTGGAAGTGATCCTGGAGAGAAAAAACAAAGTAAGTAGAAGGTTAGGCAATGGGTGTGGGAAATATACAAAGACCAAGGTGGTGTGCATAGCAAGGAGGAGATGATCAGAGACAATGGCCAGAATCACAGAATCCTCTGAGATCTCCCCTCCAATAGGTAGATAGTGGATAGCCTGACAGAGAGGAGTTGAACTCTCCTAATGGATAGGAAACCTCCTTGGCTCAGTTCCTCCAATTACACCTTAAGGCGGGGACAACTCATTCTCCACACTTTCCTTTTCCATCCTTACGAAGGCAAAGAGGACCAAGACTTCCACTCAGCTATAATTTGAAAGGATGGGGTTGGGACAAAGAACCCAGACTTAATTTGAAGAGGTAGAGAGATGTCTGCCTCCTCCTCTACTTTATCTTGTCTAACAGACAGAACTCTTTTCTTTGTCTTTCTCTTCCTCTCCCTCTCTCCTCTTGAGGCCTGTTGAACCAGGACTTCCTGACAGTGAAACTGTAGCAGGTAGGGGGAAGGGTGACCAAAAGGGCAACACTGGATTCAGCCCCAAAGCCTAAAAATAACCCCATCAACTCCTTCAGGAGGCTCTCCTAGCCACCCCACCATGCACACCCCTATGCTCCAACCAGTGTAACCAGACCCAGCCAGGGAGGAGGGCTTTTGGCCTCCTAAAGTTAGATATGACCGGCTCAGCATTTTTGCTCCGCTTCTACATAAGGGCCAGTGACAGACAGTCCTGCCTCTGGCCCCATGTAGGCATTTATTTCCACTTTCCCCTGGCTGCCCAGTGAAGGTAGAGGGGAAAGAAAGGTAATGGAGAAGACCTCCTCCTTCTCGGCTACAACATCTTGTGCCTGGCACCCTTTTAATCCCTACTTCTCTTTGGAGAACGATTCTCACTAGGGAACATGGGATCTTAGAAGATAGTTTCAGTTCCCACATCCGGAGTCCTTAGACCCTATAGATAAAAGAATGGCTCAAGAAGGAGATGGTTATAAAAATTCACTTAACTCTTTGTAGGGTTATCAGATTTATCAAATAAAATTGTAGGACATTAGTTAAATTTGAATCTCAGAGACACAAAAAATACTTTTTTACTAACTTCAAAATTGCATGGGACATATTTACATATAAAAGATTATTCGTCATATATCTGAAATTAAAATTTAACTGGTATCTTGTATTTTTTTTTAATTGAATTGAACTACATTAAATTTTATGTCCCAAATACTTCTTGGGACATAACGTTATTAAAAAATTATTCATGCATATTTCAACTTTAAAATACAGGACTGGGTGTCCTATGTCTTATCTGGCAGCCCTATCGTTAATACTTAGCCATACTGGGAAGGAATTTTCTCCCTGAGGGTGTGTTCTCTTCACTCCCCCCCCCCCGCCCCCCTTCACTGGCTCTAAGATAAAGACTGAGTTTCAGAGGTGGGCTGTAACTCAGCCTGGAGGTTTAATATATCTGGAGACTTAATAAGCTTATACATTTGCAGAGAGGGGAGGTTGGTGGTATTTGGAGATTTGAGGCTTACGAAGAAGCTGTCTGAAGAGGCACTAGGCTGTGAGAGTTGTAAAGTTCCAAACTCACCATTGAGCTGTCAGAGAAGACATCAGGGTGGTTCTCATAAATAAACTTCTCTACCCGCATCTGCCTCAGTTTGAACATCTTGGAGCCCTTGTTAGTGAGCAGCGACAGCTCTTCCAACATCACATCCCTCGGGACACTGATTTTCTTGCCCAGGTTCAGGCCTGAGCTCTCCTGCCGACCTTCCAGGGAAGTGGAGAGGAAGAGACAAATAGAGTAAAGTAAGGTTTTCTAGGCTTAGAATACAGATGCCATCCACAACTAAGTGTGTCTCCTGCAGAGATCCCAGAGGCAAGCAGATACTGTCTGATGAAGATCTATCTAGTTTGTGAGAAATTTTTATTTCCTGGGTTTGGAGTTAGAGACAATGCATGGGAACTGGGGTGCAAAGTGGAATCAGTGAGTATACCAGAGTGGAGACAGTGAATAAGGCAAGAAGGGGCAGAGGCATGGGATGCAGGGCAAACGGGGACTATGGGAACATCATAGATGGAGACCATGGGGGAAACTGTAGCCTGGGGGCAAGCCCAAAGTCCAACACTGTGTGAAGCTGATACATCTAAATACAGATTTCTGCCTTAATTCTTTCCTCTCTCTTCCCCTCAGTGAACCCTGGCTGCAGATAGCCTTTGGGCATTGGGAGAGCTCTTCACATGCATATACTCCTTTCCCCCCAGGAAAAAAAAAAAAAAAGTCTAAGTATTTTTCCATTTTCTGTGCTTCCAAGGCTCCCTAGCACTGGAGGGGGGAGGAGAAGTAAGGAAATTAACCATTTACTGAGACTTTACTCTGTGCCAGTCTCCATCATACATATTTTTTTCCTCAAACATACCTCACTGACCTGTGAGTCCTGTTGTCCTGGACCTGCACTGGGTGATATGGCAAGGATATTATTGTCTCAGATTACAAGGTGAAAAGGGTGGAAGGGTGAGTGATCAGTGTTGAATCCTTTCTCCATTTTTCTCCCTGCCCCCACCACCCAGAATTTCTCTTATCTCTTCATATCTCTTCACCTTAAGACATATATACCTTTATGATTTTTCTGGGACTCTTCGGGGCTGAGATGCTCTTAACAAGAAGACCCTACACTAGGTAGGTGCAAACATGCCATACCTCCAGTGAGTTCCATGATCAGCTTGCTGGATTTCCTTTTCTTGTTGGGGGCTGGAGTTCCTGAGAGTGGCATTGTGGAGGCAGATTCAGCCTGAATAGGGTGGGAAGGAGGTGTTGAAAGATGGACAGGGACTGGGAAGTATCTACAGTAAGGTAGTACTTCTTAACCTGAGGTTAAGGGCTTCAGGTTAAGGAGACATATATATAATAAACGTATATTTTTCCCCCAAAAAAGATGAAAACCTATTGTTCTAGGGCTTCTCCTTTCTTGGAGGTGAGGCAGAAAGTATAGATGCATCCTCTGTCCCTACCTTCTATAAGCCTCTTTTCTACTGTTTAAATAGAGCTGGTGCAGGGATTAGGAACACAGTATGTGTTGGGGGCAGTGAGTAAAACAAACAACACACAGGCTGGGAGCTGCACCCAGGTTTCGTTGGCTTGGCATGACTTCAAGTTTTTATTTTCATGGGAAATCTCAGATTGTGGCTGTCATTCCCAACTGTGGGTCTCTCCTCAGTCTTCCTCAAGCCCTGGCACAGGTGGGGGTGGGGGTGGCACTGAAAAATGTTTTGCCAGAGTCAAGGAGATTTGGCCAAAAACATTCTCCATAGGAAGGAGAAGTTGTTGCTTTTCTACTGGGCCAGCTGGAGTGTGGCCTGGGATGGCATAGCAGTGTTCCTTGCTCCCTTTCAGTAGCTCCCACCCCAGGCTCCAGAGCTAGAGTGAAGAGGAGGGCCAGGGGCATTTGAACCTTGATGCATGTCAATTCAGCAATACCATAGCAGTGGGGAATTGAGGGGGGTTGGAACATAATAATAGAATCTGGCAGTAGAGGGGGACAAGCTGGGAAAAGATGCAGACTCCAGCAAAACACTGTCTTTCTGCTGAGTCCTATTTCACAACACATCTGCAGTTCTACTAACTTAATGGGCTATGCCGAGACAAGACCCCAGGAACTGCTAAATGGGCATTCACTATACTTTTCTTAGCCCTAACTAGGTTCTTTTTTCCCATCCAGCCTCTCAGATCCCCTTTTTATTACTCCAGTGCCTCCTCCAACATCTCCATTTCCCCCACACTCCTAAGCCCCTCTCCTTCCAACTCTGTGGCTCCCCTGAACTGGACAGCTGGGAACGGAGCATAGATGGGGGAGGGAGACAAGTCTCCCAGGATCAAGGGTCACTCTTGCAGACAGAGACACAGCAGTCAACAGAGTGGGCTCCAGCCTCTCTGGCCATAGAGCTGAAAACTTACCGGCTGCAGAAGTGGTGGTCAGCTCTCCTGGGGGTCCAGCAGCTTTGAAGGACTGAGCTGCTGTGACCGGAGAACCCAAGCTGGCCAGGCGTGGGGGCAGCACTGGCAGTGGGGGAGGGAGGGTAGTTATTAATAGAGACGATGAGTACAAGCAGCTCAAATGGCACTGGGGGTACTGAGACCCTGGAACCAAGATCCCGCCCTCCTTGCCCAGAGGCTCAGGAAGGGGAGGAAAAGCCTTTGGGATTCTCCCACTAAGCTGTCTGAGCCAGAGATCAGTCTACCCAGAGACTCCCCTTTCTTGGCATCTAGAGTCTGAGATCCAAAGAGGCATTCAGGGAGAAATTGAAAACTGTGAGGGAGGGGCACCTGGGTGGCTCAGCCGGTTAAGCGTCCGGCTTCGGCTCAGGTCATGATCTCACAGTTTGTGGGTTCGAGCCCCGCGTCGGGCTCTGTGCTGACAGCTCAGAGCCTGGAGCCTGTCTTTGGATTCTGTGTCTCCCTCTCTCTCTGACCCTCCCCTGTTCATGCTGTCTCTCTCTCTCTCAAAAATAAATAAAAAATTAAAAAAAAAAAAAAAAAGATTCCTTTAAAAAAAAAAAAGAAAACTGTGAGGGAAAGAGGAAGAAAGCAGAAAATGGTGGACAGGAATTCCAAGTGGGAGAGCAAGAACTGGAGAACATGTCTGGAGAGCCACTCAGAACCAATCCAGGCTGGAGCTGGAGGGACATATGGGTGCATTTTGGGAGTGAGGGGCTTAAGGGGCTATGTTTGAGGAAAGGAAATCTGTTCACAATGGAACTTCTTTTTTTTTTTTGCTTGTTGGCCAACAATGGAACTTCTTAAAAGTTCCTCGAAATGGGTGTTCTATGGAAACCAATCTGACAATAAATGATATTAAAACAAAAAAAAGTTCCTTGATAGGTTGGTCTTTCCTCTGGGAAAGCCAGAGCTTGGCAGGACAAGGGACCAAATTAACCAAATCCAGTGCTTCCTATGCTGTCAGAGATGATGTGGGGAAGACTTGACCAATTTCTCCCTTTTTGTCCCCATTTGCTGTTGGGTTGCTCAGTTCAGCCTGTTTTGCAGAATAGACGTTGATGTCTGAGATGTACATGTAGATTTCTAACCTGCCAGGTCCTTACTCTCTGGGGTTTCCACTTGGGATTTTCCTGAAAAGAAGCACACACCCCATAGGATCTAGATTATCCCATTCATACTGTTGCAGAGGAGCCCTTGGGCAAGGGTACGAGTTTGAGAGCTTCCTTAAAAGAATCGTGTCATATGCCCAGCCCCTTCCTCAGTAGCTGCATGAACATCCTAGATCCTCTTCCACCTCCGGCTCAGATTCTGGAACCAACTGCTGTTGCACCTCTGTTGCAGCTACCACCATCCTATTGTGGCTGCTTTAGAAAGTGACTTTGCAGCTTCTGGAATGCCCTTCTATCACTCTGTGAGCTCTCCACTCTTCCTGATTTTGTCTTTTCCTGTCCTGAACTTTTCAGGCTCAGGCCAGGGACTGAAAGGTCACCCCATTCCCCTCTAGTTGTCCTCTTCCCAGACCAGTTTAGCCTCCAGATCCCTCATCTTCTGTCTTCCTTCTCCATGTCCTCCCAACCCAAAGAAGCAATTAGAAGAAAAAACATAAATGACAAACAGTGATTTTGTCATCACCACCATCCTACTCTCAAAAACAAAAAACAAACAAACAAACATTTTTGTCTGCTTTGATTGAGTACCTAAAACTAACAAGTGGATGAAGACAAATTCACCCTACCCTCACTGGGCCCTTCCTTGGGTAATCCTGAGACTAGTTGGGAGCATCAGGGTCCTGGGCCTGGTTATTTGCACAAATATGCCCCCTGGTGGAGTAATGGCACTTTCCTTCTCAGAAGTCCTTAATTCTAGCTTACTTCTAATGACTTTTCTTCTATATGAGGACTCAATCCACACTGATCCACCCTCTCGTCTTCCTTCTCCCATCCCATCTTCACCTTCAGGCATTGCTTGCCTATGGAAACATCATTGCTTTCTCCAGAGAGCTAGAAAATGATGGCAAAAGCTCAGAGGGACCTTCCACTCCTCTTGGTTCTGAAACTGAGGCATTGATTGGGAAATATGGAGCAGGAGATGGAAAAGGGGAGAATCTGGATGGAGAATGCAGGCAGAGAGAACCCAGGGGAATGGTGGAGGTGGCTAAATCGGAGTGGGACAGGACTGGTTAAAGAAGAGCAAAAGACCAGGGGGTGAAGGGCAAAGGATGAAAAATAGGGCAGGAATGGAGAAAGAGATCAGGAATTAGGAGATCAGGGGAATGGGTGAGGGAAGATGGAAGAGAATTAGGATTTGGGAATAAAACTAGAAGAGATGACAGCAACAGAAGATTTGGAGCTTAAGTTTATTCTTGTGCACAAACCAAAGTACCGTGACTCATATCCAATATGCAAAGGAAATGATCAATCCAGATCAAGCAGCAAACGTGACTGACTGGTGGTGGTCATGGAGAAAGGGGAGTCCATATCCATCTAGAGTCAGAGATCAGGACCACAAGCTAGAAAGGAACAAAAGCTGGGGTTCGGGGGATGGCGCAGGACTGAAAAGATGTTTTGGCTCTGGGTATTTCCTTGCCCTTTCCCAGGTCATCACGACAAGCTGCAGAAGGCAGAAGGCAGAAGGCTAGACTCAAAGGAAGTAGCACAGACACCACATATTCCTCCAACACTCAGTACACACTCTCACATCCCCCTACCATCATCCGTCTTCACTCTGACAAATGCATTCTTCTCTCTCAAATTTTTCTCCAATCCCCCTCTTGCACACAGTAAGTTTCTTGAAACCCAGCTCTACTGTGTCTCTCCCCTTCCCCATGCTCCTCCCTGTGGCTCAATTAATTTCACTCATTCCGCTCTGCTCCTGGTTTCTGCCTCCCTTCTCACACCATGGCTCTTTTCTCCCTCCTTTCTGTCTTAGGTGCATAAGGCAATGAAGCCAATGACTTTTTCATTCTCAGAGGAAATTCTCTGTCTTTCTTTTTCACTTCTGGATGCTTATAGCTTAGCATGGGCCTCTTAAGTTGCTCTGAAATCCTGACAAATAGAATTCATTTTTTTTCAAGTTTATTTATTTAGGTAATCTCCACCCAATGTGAGGCTCGAACTCATGACCCTGAGATCAAGAGTCACTTGCTCCTCCAACTGAGCCAGCCAGGCTCTCCTTGATGAATAGAATTCTTAATTCTATTCCTGGTCTAGCTGGTATAAGTCAGCCCTTACAAACTGCTCTGGCCCTTCAAGTCTTCTCATAATCTGTGAGTTTCACAAGATGCTGTACCCCTGCTACAGACACTGATCTTTGAGTACAGTCCATTTTTCTCCCCACTATCCATGAGGGGCTATCTGACCCTTCTTTCATCAATACAAGGGGAAAACCCAGATTTGGTCTTTATTTAGACCTCTCCTCTTACTCTTGCCTCAGACATAAGAACACACCTGTGCTCATACACACTTGCACATACACAAACATACACATACATGCCTAGATATATGCCAGCCAAGCTTGGGAAATGAGAGGAGTAGAAAGCGAATTAGCACAGAGATCAATTCAGTCCCTTGGAGGCCTGCCTGATGGTGAGCTTGCCTGAGGTCTCACTGGTAACTTCTCTTTGTGCTTATTGAAAGTTAAAATGAGGCTCACACAGAAAAGCACAAATGTAGAGAGATACCAGTGGAGGAGTGTGGGTTGAGAGACTGAGATAAAGACAGAGATGCACGAAAGCAGCTACAGAGACAAAGAGAAGCACAGATAACAAAGCAGAGATAGTAGGTTGGAAAGAAGCAGCAGGGAGGTTGGGAGCCAGGAGGATGGGACACCAACTCCAAAACTATCTCTGGCAGGAGGGAATTTAGCCTCCAGATGCCTGAGAGAAGGCATGGGATAGGTTGGAGAAGAAACTTTAGGAACTGGATGTTCCACCTCTCCTTGGTCCTGGGAGCTGTACCCCGCTCAGTGGTGGCCTGCCCCTGGCCTCCACACATGAGCCTGCAATCCAGTTCTGGTGGCTGAGAACCGAGGCCTGGCTACCTGGAAGCCACAAGAGCTAGGGGAAGTCCCAAGACCCCTGGGAGACTCTGGAGGAGGGCCTGGGCTAAGGACAGGGGTTGAGGCCAGCTCTGACCTCCAGATGGGCTCATCCAACGTAGTGGCTGCTCGTGGGGCAAGAACAGTGGGGGCCAGGGGCTCTGCAGTGGGCTGGGGTGCTGGAGTGGAAAATCGGCGGATCTCCTGGACTCGGGCAGTTTTGGGGGGCCCCAAGGAGGTGGGGCCAGGAGTCTGGGGAACCTCATCAAAACAGAACATGGCAGTTTTAAGTCGGTAGGGCTGGTGCCGCATGAAATCCAGAGCCTTGATACCCTGCTTAGGGGTTGCCCGAGGACCTTGGGATTGGGCCTTATTAGGGAGAGTTCGAGCACCCTGGGGAAAAAAGGGTGAGAGCAGTGGGTTGTAAGCAATAGGAGGTGGGGCACGGATGTTGGGTGAATATTTCCAGGAAGAGGGCAATGAGGGTGTAGGGGAAGGGCTTCTGGGCCTAGGGCCAGGGCCAAAGCCAGGACTAGGTGTAGCTTCCACCACATACCTGTCTGCTCGGCTCTGCCGCTTGGCAAACAGCTCCCCACCCCTGCCCTGAAGCCTTGCTGGCTCAGGGATTCCAGCCGAAGGGGCTGACCCATTCACTAGCCCATCCAGGAACCCACGAGACGGGGGCTTAGGAGCCACTGGGGGTGGAGTCTTAGGAGTCATTGGGGGCGGAGTCTTGGGAGCCATTGGAGGCGGGGTTTTAGGTGTCACGTGAGATGCAGCCTTGTAACTCCTGCCCCCCGGTGGCTGCATGAAGTTGCAGGCTTCAGCTCCGAGGCTCAGAGCATCTTCCTCTGGACCAGATTCTGCTCCTCCGGCTCGGGGTTTTTCATCCAGGTTCTGCACCAACGATAACAGCTCGGGGTTGGGCGAGTTCTTCGTCTCCTCCTTTCCCGACCGGAACATCTGCTTCCGGGTCCCCCGTCGCCGGGCCTCCTGGAGGATGCCAGTG